ATGACTAACGAAACACAAAGTAAGTATAAGGAAAGAAATAATAAAGAGTAGAAATCAATGAAATAGAAAATAAAATGAATACAGTACAGAGAAAATAACGGCCTAAAGTTGTTTCATGAAAAAGTCAATATAACTGATAAACTTGTAGCTATATTGAGCACAAGAAAAAAAAGAATATAAATCACCAGTATTAGGAATGTGAAGATAGCACAGATACTACAGACATTGATAGAATAATAAAAGGAAAATATAGGAAATTTTATGCCAACAAATTTGACAACTTAGATAATATTAATCATTTCTTGAAAAATAACTTACAAAATGAATGCAAGAAGAAACAGAAAATTTAAATAGTCCTACATCTAGTAAAGATGTTGAATATTTTAGCAAAGTTTTTTCTTAAAAAGAACTCCATACCTAGGAATTTCATTGGTGAATTCTATCAAATACCAACAAGAAATAATATTAATCTCACCCAAACTTTTCAGGAAATAGAAAGGGAAGATAAATAGTCTAACATGCTTTAGGTGGGAATTATGATGTAAGCATAATCCTGATATCAAACACCATGATATGTTATAAGAAAGAAATAAAAATGAATATTTCTCATAAATCATGAGATAGAAATATTCTCAATAAAATATTAGCAAGCTAAATTCAATAATATAATAAATCATTACCAAGCATGCTTTATCCTGGGAATGCATGTTAGGTGTACTATCTGGAAATCAGTCAATGTTATTCACCATATTAATTGAATAAAAAAAGGAAAAAAAAACACAATAATTTCAATAGATTCAACAAACAGTTGAAAAACCCAACACTTAACTCTAATAAACCTTTTTAGCAAACAAAAAATAGTAATAAAGTTCTTCAAATTTTATTATGGGCTTATATTAAAAAAAATCTAGAACTAAAATCAATTGAATAATCAAAGAAAAAAGTAAAAAAACTTACTTATTTCCTATGACATTGGAAACCAAGAATAGATGCCGGTTCCGTATGAGTAAGCAATAGATAAAACACTAGATGAAGAAATAACTGGCAGGACCAGCAGCTAGCATAATGGCTATGTTGCTGGACTCCTATGTAGTCGACCGCAGTTCAAGTAGTGGACCCAGTGGCTTAAAACTCACACCTGGCATGTGTGTGTGCGTGCCCAAAATCCTGAGAGGAAAAGGGATTCCAGCATAGCCATGCCCCCTGGGGTGGGGGGTGACTTCTCCCTTTCTGTCTCTCTTTCTCTCTGTGTCTTTCTGGTGAGTACATGCACCGTATATAAAAATCCCTTCCAAAAGAAAAGAGAAATAAATGGCATAAAATTTAGAAAAGAAAGCCTAAAATTATTCTCATTTTCAGATGATGTGATTGTGCACATAGAAAATTCAGGACAATCTACAAAACTGTAGCTAATAAACAGTCAATTAACAAAATTAAAAAAAAAATCCATTTGAAATAGCTCCCAAACACCCAAAACACAGAGGAAGAGATCTAATAAAACATATCTAAAATCTCTGTTCCACTACCAAAAAACATTACTGAGAGAAATTAAAGGCCTAAATTAATGGAGAGATACATCACACACAAGGATTAAAAGACTCCATAATACCAAGAAAGCAAATGGGGCAAAACTGATCTATAGATTCAGTGGAATCTAACACCAAACACATAGCATTACTTATTTTCTAGAAATTAACAAATTGATTCTAAAAATTATATGGGAATTAAAATTTTTTCTAATTACCAAAGCGATTTTCAAAAAGAAGAGCAAAGATATGGGTATTATCCTATCTGATGTTAGATTTGATATTTGTGGTTAGATAGACGTAGATGTATATGTTGTACTACTTTTTGACAAAGGCAGTCTAAGCAAGAACGAAAAATGTTTAAAACAGATGCTGTAGAATCACCTATATAACCAACCATGCAGAAACAAAATGAATGCTAATTATTACTTCAAAATATATATAAAAAAGGCAAAATGAATACTGAACTTAAATGTAAAACCTAGGATTACATAAATTCTAGAAGAAAATATAGCAGAACAAATTTTGTGACCTTGGCAGGCATGAAACAAAAAAAGAAAAATAATAAATGACACTTCATCCAAAATTTAAGAATATCTGTTTTTAAAAATTATTATTAAGAGAAGACAGCAGATGATATGGTGGTTAAAGCATTGGATTCTCACACAGCTGACTGGTTTGAGTCCCAGACTCGTCGATTTGCTTTCTCACTTTCCATTTCTCTGCTTCTCTTTGGTCAAGTTAAAAATAATAATGATAAAAAAAATTAAATTAAATTTTAAAATTAAAATAAAATAACTTTTTTTTTCTTTTTTTGGAGAGGTTTTTGTTATAGGGTGCATGTGCTCACCAGAAAGACAGAGAGAGACAGAAAGTGAGAAATCACCCCCCAGGAGAGAATGGCCATGCCGCAATTCCTTCTCCTCCATTCTCCTCATGCCAGGTGTGAGTTTAATCCACCGGGTCCAAGACTCAAACCGTGGTCAACTACATGGAAGCTCAGCGACATAGCCATTACACTAACTGCTGGTCCCCAAATTAAATAATTCTTTTGTGTGTGTGTGTGTGGAGAGATTTTCACTATAGGGTGCGTGTGCTAGCCAGACAGAGAGAGACAGAGAGACAGAAAGCAAGAAATCAGCCCCAGGGGGGATGGTCACGCCGCAATCCCTTCTCCTCCATTCTCCTCTCGGGATCTTGGGCATGTACGCACATGCGCCCAGCGTGAGTTTAAGCCACTGGGTCCAGGACACGAACCACGGTCGACTAAGTGAGAGTCCAGCGACATAGCCATTATGCTAACTGCTGGTCTCAAAATTAAATAATTCTTTGATAAAGAATTAGTACTAACAAAATGAGACCAACAGGTGGGATGATAGTTAAGGTGCTAGATTCCACATGGCCACCTGCAGTTCGAGTTCCTGACCCAGCAGTTAAAAATAATGCCGGGTTCATATGTATGTGCCCAAATTATGAGAGGAGACTGGAGAAGAACAGATTGCAGAATGGCCAGCTCCCTGGAGGAGGGGTGATTTCACAATTTTCCTCTCTTTGTCTCATATGTTTCTCCCTGGTGAGTGCACAAACCCAGTGAAAAAAATAAAGAAATTTCTACTAAGAAAACAAAAAAGATTTATATAATTGAGAAAAAATATTTATAACACATAGACTAGTTAAAGGACATGTATTAAGCATGTAAAAACAAATCTTACATTCAATCATAAGACTTATAATCCAACTAACAATGGATAAACTATGTTGAATAGACATTTCACAAAAATAAATATTCCTATAAACATGTAAAACAATACCTATGATCACACTAAGAGTATATAAATTAAAACTATGATATGCCTCCTTAAAACTCTAAGGAGACACATTTATTAAATTGTCTAACAGCAACTGGTCCGATCATACTAAATGTTATTGAGTTTGTGAAATAACTGGTACTCTTATGTAGTGTTGAGGAGACATAAAATGGCATGTCATTTTACAAGACTATTTGGGAAATTCTAAAAAGAAAAGGAAATGCAGCATTTCCACTTAAAGACTTGTAGTAGATCACCCTAATTATAACCCAATGTTCATCAACACACAAATAGATAAACAGATTTTGGCATTTCTTATAACTGAACTCTACTTAACAGTAAAAAGGAAATAGGGGTCAGCAGATGGCGTCTTGATTAAGGTGACTCCATGGTTCAATTCCCCAGACTCAATAGTTTGGGACACAACAATGGAAAATTATCTGTTGATGATAATGTGTATGGTAATATCTTTGACTAGAGTAATATCTAGTGTATTTATGCTGGGGAAATTAATTTTGTATGTTTTAATAGTATACAGCTATTGAAAGTTGTAATAATAGTAAAAAGAAAAAAATATATGTATGTTTTGAAAATAATAAAAAAAAATATGCTAGGAGTGTGTGTATAAATGCCCCAAATCTTTTTTTCCAGTTAAAAAATACTTTATTATAATTTTAATCACAGAATTCCAGTCTGAATATAATTAAACACACACAAAAACCACTGATCTCTGGAGTTGTTTTCCATACTCACTCAAAATTTGGAGAATGAATTATGTCTTAGATAATTTTCCAGTTCAATCCCATACACCTACTTGGAGTAAATGGAGGGGCTAGTCTTTTGTTTTTTGTCCACGGTTCCAATGTACTATTATAGGCAGAATATTTGTTGTAAAAGATCATTTTGCTGAGTTAGAAAACAGTTAAAAATAAGAATGCTACATGCTTAATTCTGGATGTAGTTAAAACGTGAATTTGTATGCATTCTGTCCTGAAGGCCTTTTTCTCTTGTTATGGTTTTTCTCTTTCTATAGGGGTTGCCTTACCACACTGCATAAAAATGTATCTTCGATTCAGTATCCTGGATAACAGGTGTTCACATGAATGGTGATGCTACATTTTAGGTTACCGAGTCTATTATTGACAATTCTGAACTCTGGGGTTATAACTCTAAATAAGTATTTCAAGGTAAGGAGACACGTTACTTGGCTGATTAGTGGAATGCTTAAATCTTCTTTCTAAAATCATAACTGAAATGTGGACTGTTTCATGCTGTTCTTCAAGACAAAAACCAAGTCACCTACATCTACGAATGATTCACAGAGCACCACTCTCTACTTCTCCCTTATTGCTTAGAATGATGCCAATGCCTCATCACAAACGAGGCTGGGCTTACTTGGTATTCAGGTAACAACAGTCACAAGGCCTAAACTTGATTAAAAAACAAACAAACAAACAAACAAAACCTCCAGAATGAATATCTGTGTAGTATGAAGGTAGAATTTTGGTTGGTTGTTTCTTATCATTAGGAACAATATATGAAATCACAAGGTTTGCAGCTGTCTCTACAGTCACATCTTTCAAAGGTCCTCCTCTCTTTTCACATGAATTCATCCGAATCATTGCCATCCTGATTTGAAGACGTAGTCTCTACTTTCATTAGTGACGAATAGCTCCTAAGTTCATCCATTTCCTTCTTTTTCTTCATTTCTTATTTTTCTCTCCTTTTCATTTCTTGAATCTGGGCTTTTTTCTCATTCCTTTCTTCCCGGTCTCTGCATTCTTTCTCTGCTGCTAGATCTGGGAACCGCTTTTTTAACCGCTCTACTTTGGTCTTTTCTAATCGGTTCAGGATCTCATTCACTTTCTTCTCCACTGTCACAATTTTTACATCCTTTTGCCTGTGAAAGCCTATCTGCCCCACATCCATGTCAGCTGTTTTCTTCAGGTTAGACCACGGCGTATATACCACATTAACGTTGTTCATCTTGCAGCCTTGAATACTATTGGCCTTCACAAGGTGAACACAGTCCATCAGCACTTCTTTTGGAATGTCTTCTATCTTCTCTCCCTTATGT